CCTATTCATTTCAGGTTCGTCGCTTCTCTTTCTTTTTTTCTGTCGCAAACAAAATGTTGTTATATTTGCTGACAGTGGGACTTGAAGGCCAACTCGGCTATCTCAACTTTGTTGTCTTCAAAGAACAATCGTAACAATTTCATATATCAAAGATGATGAAATGATCTTTCCAATGTTTTTTATTTTTTATTTTGTTTGGATTGGATTTGCACAGTTGAGGTGACGATACTGAAGGCGAATGCCTGTCAAGAAGCTTGGAATCCTTGTGAAAGCGAATATGCCTGCAAGATAAAATGCGCTACTAAACACCCCGGAGGCAAAGGGTTTTGTAATTCAGCCCCTGGAATGTCATACATCAAAATCTGCTACTGTGATTACCCTTGTTGATCTCTTTCTTTCTCGTATATCTATTCGTTTGCTTCAAGATCTATCATCAATAAATTAAGAGTTGAGTATTCACAATAATTCTGGGCTATGCATTGTTTCACTACTTTCTTAGCTAGCTAGTTTCAAGTTTCAACCTCCAGTCTTCTCATCATCACGTCAAATACGAACAAAACACTGACTTCTGAGCTCAGAGAACCTGCCTATTTTTCTCCATATTGTTATAGACAAGCAAACACATCCTAGAGATTTTTCTTATTAAGATTTTGCGTTGAAAGTCGAAACTTTGAAGGACTCTCTCCCGCAGCCCATCGATAATCGATTCATCATCATCACTTGGAGTAAATGAATACTTAAATCCTCTTTGAGTAGGTTTTATCTTAATACTTAAAACATCTCCCATCAGTCATGGGTGAAGAGGGATAAATATTGATCAATAATACTCTTATGGGGTGGGTACGTTAAAGGTGTATTTGGTGGCAATGCAAATATAAATATGTACATTACATATTTATTCATTTTTCTACACTTCACATTTTAAATCGTTTTTGTATTCATCCTGTTTGTTTGAAATCGGTGCAAAATTATGGGCCCATTATTAAATATTCCAACTATCTTATGCTCCACTGCATTAATTTTGGTCAAAAAGTTAATTATCAAAATAACACAAAATTGTATCCCAAAAATAGGTTTAGTAATGCTTTCTTCTCAAGGTACAAAACTGTCAGAAAATACATTTTTTCTCTGATAATTATTATGCTTTTACGTTTCAAACAAATGCAAACAGGGCTACATAAATACCCCAATTCGGCGTTTGTATCGCAAACAAATGGAGCCCAACATACGTTTTAAATATTTGCATTTAATACCAAAAAGCATCTCCTCGGCTCAGTTCAGAAGAGTGCAAATATATACATATACATACTAGACCTGTTCATGGGCCGGTTGGCCTGACGGGCTGGCCCGGCCTGACCCGGCCCCCGGACAGGCTTGAACAGGCTTTTTGGCCCGCGGGCTGAACCTCGGGCCAAAAAGCCCGGCCCGCATTAAATTCGAGCCGGGCTCAGGCTTTGCCAAAATAGCTCGACCCGGCCCGACCTATAGTTAAACCTAAGTAAAAACCCTATGTGATGTTCATTTGAATAAATTTTTTGATTTAAGAAGGTTGTTGATTCACTTGTAGGCCCATTGTTCATATAAATAGGGGAAAAAACATCTCAATTAAAATAGATAATGTTCATTTGAATAGGGAAAAATTCGAATTTTTTTTATTAGGTCAGGCTTCGGGCTCGGGCTCGGGCTTTATATATATATATATATGGGTTTGGAGGTTTAGGGAGGTGGATTGGACCTAGAATTTACGGAACCCTCCCCAAACCCATCGCCATCCCTATAAGGTGGTGTTCAGTAGTGTTGAATCAGCTTCCGAAGGCTAAATTTTTTTTCTTTTTCAATGGTTAGATGCTGTTCAATCGATCATCTAAACCCTGAGATAGCCTCCCAACTTTTCAGATGTCAAGCTACCTTGAGCACATTCAGAGGTAATGAACAAAAATCGGTTTCCATCCATGCCCTTTGTGATTTTGAAAAATTCAGAACTTTAAACATTGAGAAAACTAGAGAGGAGGTCCAATCCAGGAGTTGCACATAATGGTTGAGTTCATTACCCGAGTAGAGGGTGATTCTTCACATCTCTCTCTATCTTCTTCTTCTTCCACACTCTTGATGAACAGAGGAATTGTGATTCTTCAAATTACTTGCATTGGAACTTGGAAAGCTCTCTTGAAGGGACTCATCCGGATTGATGATGCTGGTTTTCTCATTGGATTCATAGGCTTCCCAAGGAGTAGGAACGCTTGATCTAATTGAGATTCCAAAGGTCTCAAGCTTTGATCGATGGTGGGTCAATGGTGGAGATAATATTTGTTCAATTAACATTATTTTATATTATTAATATTTAAAGACATTATATCATAATATTTATTCAATAACATTATTTTTATAATATTAACCTTGTTAGTCTTAATTAGTATTTTAAGTTTTTAATTTTATATTTCTTAAATGGAATACTTTTTTGTAATGTTTTAATATTTTTTGTTATTATTATTTAAATAACAATTAAAGAGGTAAATTTGTAAAATGCACATTTTCAGATATTACTACATTCAAATTATCGAACAACTTCACTATACTCATATGTCTATAAAAGTAGAAAAGCAAATTTTCCATTGCTACTTTTAGAGCTTTTTTCAAAGTTTTTTTTTTTTCGTTTTTTTGCTTTTTAGACTTCAAACTTCTTCAAATTTATTAAATGGCACCTAAGGCTATGTTTGGTGATTAAGTGGTTGTTAAAAGAAGCACTTGTTACACAAGTACTTTTTAGAAGTGCTTATTTTAACAACCACTTAAGGCTGTTTGGTGATCCACTTGTCAAATCACTTATTACGTTTTTTAAGCACCTATTGGGGTGGGGATATTTGGTGAGCTACTTTCCCCAAAAGTGCTTATATTGACATAAATGACAATTTTAGTCATCACTTCATTCATACATATAAACAATGCTTTTCACATATTATACTATACATTTCAATGAAAAATCACTACACCATGACACCTGAGAGCCCACATGGGCCCATACATGGAGTACCATGTGAACCCAATTAATAATAATAATAATAATAAATATTATTGATAAATAATAATAATAAATATCATAAATAATAATAATAAATAACATTGATAAATAACGCAAAAAATATCTACTCATGCATAGGAACCATCACATAGACAATGCAAAAAAAAAGCAAATATTTCGGATTTCTCACTTGAAAATTTTGAAAAAACAAATCCAGACAAATATTAACCCAAAAAAAAACAAGAAAATAACATCAGACATGAAAGGAAGGAGTTTGGGCGAACTCACCTTCATTCGCCAACAGTTGGACGGTTGGGTGTTGCCGATAAACTTGCCCAATCACATATTTGTGAATAGAGAGAAGAATGCCTTTTTAGGCGTCAAGAAAAATGCTTCAAATCGAATAAAAAAAGCAAAAAAAAAATAGCCACAAAGGGAAAAACGGTAGGTTTGTCGGCTATATTTTTGCACCAGCGATCATCACTGGTGGACTTGCAACTGAAATCACTGCCCTCTACTTGCTATGTTCAAATAGGAGGAGAGGGAAAAAACCCTCGCGTAGGGGCAAAACTAATATTAAATAAATTATTTAGGGACTGAATCGTCCCATTCATATTGAAAAAGCACTTTTCCAAGAAGTGCTGAAAAAAACCACTCTTAGGTCACTTTTTCCATAAGTATGTCTTTTTACTTCTTGGTGATTTTTTTTATGAAACACACATAAGTACTTTTTTACCACTTAATGTGTGATCCCAACACTTAAAAAGAAGTATTTTTTAGAAGTGAAATCAAACAGGGCCTAAATCATTTTAGAAACCAAAAGGGTATTTTCAAAATAAAAAGCCCCTAAATCCATGCCCTTTCACATTTTCTACTTGTCTTAAGAGGTCACATGACCATTCTTGAGCGAAGATACAACCAGTTTGCAAACTAAAACTATAGGATAGGTTCAAGAGGTCATGTATGTTTTCTGATGGTTTGCAAATTGTACTACTATAGGAGGCTTTTTAGGCCTCCTTTGGTTTAAGGGTGTCAATGGACTGGTTTTGGATTGGACCCCCATCCAGTCCAAAATCAATTTAGATGGATTGGACGGACCAACAATATATATTGGGTTGGATCAATTTGGTCCAAAAATATTTATTAGATTGGATTGGACTTGGTCCATCCGTAATAAATTTATATTGGACTGGATTAAGCCAATATCTAGTTCATTAATATTAAGATAATGATATAGGTGTTAATGGACTTAGTTTAGGTTGAAACCAATTTAAATCAAAATGGCTTTGAAAGATTGGACAGTCCAAACATTGAATTGAACCGGTCCAACATGATCCAAAATATTCATTGGATTGGATTGAACCTAGTCTATTTATAATAGACTCACATTGGACTGGACCAAATCCAATCCAATTGACACCCCTACTTTGGTTCATGGGAATAGGGGTTTGGAATTAGAATCGGAATGAGCTATTCCAAACCAATTGTTTGGTTGGGTGGAATCAAAATCCCATTCCCATCCTTGGTGGAGTGGCATTCCCCCATTTAAGGGAGTGGCCATTCTCTCCCTCTTTTTTGAGAATGAGATCTTATTCTTGCTGATTCCAATTTTCATTCCCATTCAGTTTAAACAAACAGGCTTATAGAAATAGATCATTCCAATTCCAATTCTGAAGGATTTCAATTCTCAATCCCGATTTCAACTCCAAACCAAACAGACCCTTAAGTTTTGACAATAAGCAAACCCTTAATCCTTTAATCTACTTCGTATCCGATTACGATCCGAATTCAATTCGAATCAGGTATTAAGACCACGGATTAAGATTCGAACCGTCTTCCCACACAATGCTTTTCAAGAGTTCGGATCAGCTATCACCCATTGCAACCGTACATCGGGAACATCTCTCCATCAAGTAAGATGTTTCCAATGTGCGGCTGAAGTGGTGGTTGGGACTTGGGACAGTGTTAGCAGTGTTTTGTTGGTAGCAGATCCCAGCAAGCTTTCGAAACCCTAAACCCTGAAAGGAGCTACATTCCCATTTCTTCCCCGACCGGTGAGACATTAACATCGGGTAGGGTTGTTCTGCCCTCTTCACGAATAACAAAACTATTGCTCCAGGGAAGATTTGGAGCTAAAGAGATGGGCTGGAAAGCGGCACAGAAACTTATACAGAACTGGAAGATTCTTAGAGGAGACAACGTAATTGGAGACGAATTAGATGTTTTTTCTCTGTTCATTCTCTTTGGATTCTTTGTTACTTCTCGTTAATAATTTTCCCTTCTGCATCAATCCTCGCAGGTCATGATAATAAGAGGCAAGGATAGAGGAGAAACTGGCGTCATCAAGCGTGTAATTCGCTCTCAGAATCGTGTCATTGTTGAGGGAAAGAATCTGGTACTTGTTTCCTCTTTCATTTTTTATTTTTTTTAATTTTTTTAATTTTTTTCTGGGCGATTTGTTCTCTTACGTAATTATACATATGTTTTCTATTTTAATTTTAACATAACTATCAAAATTTGGGTGTCCAATTTGTAATTCTGATATTAAGGAAATAAAAGGACAGTGGGAATGGTTTCATTCCACTAATAGATACAATTTGGATGGTGATCCGTGAAGTAATCAACATTTCTCATTGAAACCCTTGCTATTTACTTTAATGATTCTATGCCTAGCCTTATTTCTTTTTGTTGTTTCTCAACCAGAGATGATCTGCTTATACTTTCTATAGAAGTGTTGTCAAGGCACCCTTGGAGGCTCGCCTCCCCCAGTCGCCAAGCAGTTTTGCATACTGTGTAATATAATACTTTTATGTTGTTATTCTTTTGAGATTATAATTATAAAATGGATATTATTAAGGAAAAATATTCATTTTTTTGTGTTTATAAACTAATTTCTTTTTATTATTTTCTTATTTGTTAGGGTTTAATCAACACAAACATTGCTAACTGCTGTATTGATCCCTCAATGACTTCAACATCTGAACCAATAAGGGAAGAACTTAAAAATTTTGTCTAATCAACACATTTCTTCTTCTTCTTCTTCTTCTTTTAACAAAAGTAGGGGTTCAACCCCTATATTTTTGAATTTCTTTCCTTTCTTCTCATAAATATGTTGATTTTCTAGACTTAAACATGAAGTTTATAATTTTCTTATGAAAATTATGGATAGTTATTAAAGAAAGTTGGTTATGGAACCTAGGGAACTACCCTATGATATGTGATTTTTACTTAAAATAATCCATCACCTAGGCGGCTAGGCGACAAGGCACCCCCCTGTCGCCTGGCCTCGCCTTGGCACCTTGAAAACTATGGTGACCTGTGGAGCTTGGTATTGTGTTAGATCTATTGTATGACTCTATTGGGGTTGCATGATTGTTCAAGGGGAAATATGGTTTAAGGGAGAAATTTTGTTTAATTCCAGATGAGACATGAGAATATACTGATATTTACTGGATTTCATTTATTAAGATTGTTGTGTGTGTGCAGGCAAATGATGTTAAATATTGTGTTTTCTATATTTCTTTATTGCTTTTCCTTTGATGCTTTGCTTGTTCTTTGGTTCACACTGGGTCAGTGTCGTAAAGTGGTGGGCTTAATCAAGAGAAAGGTGCAGTTCCATTTGGTGTCTTGCAAACAGGATAAGATAAAAAATGGCTTGTTCTTTAGACTCCTTGGCAGGAGAAATGGGATTTACTTTTGTAGATGACCGAGAAACAAAACTAATTTTTGGAATTGTGTGAAGCATTCAAAAATGGAAAAGATTTGCTAATCATATAAACCATGATGTGAATGCTTCATTAAAGCAAAAATACATAGAAAGGAGAAAAATTTATGCTGGTTGAAGGGACTCGAGGATGTCTGGTGAAGTTTAGTAGCTGGAATGTGTGTATGTGGGGGAGGGGGTGCAGAGGGGAGATGCTTTGTATAAAATTTTCAAGGTTATATTCTTTAGAAGAGGTCTTAGAGATCATGAAAGCAAGTTGGCAATCCCCATGGTTTCTTCTGATGTTCTTCCTTTTTCA